CATCGATAAGAATGGAGACTATTTCATTCAATAAATGTTTTGTTTTGATCTATAAGTTGTTCGGGTTTTTTCATCTAAAAAAGCGACATTAATTTCATAACAACCTAATATTTGGTCTCTCATGAGTAAACACAACGCCAAAAGCCGCTAACTTATGACACCGATGTAGAGTCGATTGTGTTAGTTCTGTACAACGTAAGACATTTTCATCAGTTCTGGTGCAGTGTTATCAGGGATAGATCTGTGGAACTGTCAGACATCACTGGTTTCAGAAGAATGTTCGTCTCTCCAATATTACATTTCTCCATTCACACCTCGCCTCGGGTAGTGTTGACGATGACGTTAGTTTAAACTATAAAACTTCTAACGTTAACTGTTTAGTGGCATAGAGTGAATGAATATCAGCACACATCAATGAATAACGAACTGTGTTTATCAACAGACTGATATTACTCTATGGTCCCCCTATAGCAGTTCCACATTCATTTGCTCTGTAAAAAGTGCTACATGTACTTTGCATGTATTATTCACCCGAACACTTCCAAGTCGGAGTTCTCTTTGTTTTACCCAACTTAAACTTTCAGCCTATTATGAAGGTTTATTTTTATTTTTCACTTTGTTACTTTACGTTGTGACATAAATTAATATTTAATTTCTGCACAACCTTTGCTTCTAAATAATAACATTCCCTATTAACTAGTAATAATGATTAGTTCTGAACAGTTCATGGAAACTAGTAATCCTATCGGAATTTTCGAAAACTGAAGCTAGAATCATGCTACGCAAATTTTTTATGAGTACATTTTGTCAAAAAAAAATTAAATAATTGAAGTTTGATTTTTACAAAATACCTACATTAATTTTTCTTCTAAGATATGTAATTCAACAAAGAAAACTTATTTATTGACAATCACTTAATATATAATAGATTATTTGTAAATAAAATATAACTGATGATTTTAAACTTACCCTTGCGTTTCCTGTATTATGCTTACTTGTTATTAACTCATAAAAAATATGTACGGAAAAGTATTCTCCGGATATATCTTTATAAAGTATAGATACTACGTATTTGTAGTTTAAAAAATACATTCAAATTTGCCCAATTCATACCTAAGTTCAGGGGTTTAAAGGACTTCATTTCCAGTGAGGAGGAACACAGTAATCGGACCTTCTAAAACCCCTCTTGACTCTATCCAAAAAATCTCTTCTTCTGCGGCGACTATGTTTCAAATAATTTGTTTCGTGAAGTCACTCTTACATTATGACAAGAATATTTAAATCTTTGTGTGGATAACTCCTTTTGATTATTTTTCGTTTTCATATTTTAGAACATCAACGGTTTAAAAGTTGGAAATTGAACACTTTTTCTCATGATTTAAATGTTATCGACCATGGTCTGAGAGTATAATAATGTTATTTGTATCTGATTTGAATAGTCTCAATTTTGTTAACTAAATGTCTCCTAAGAGAACTTGTTTCTTACATTCTCATTAGCTATTGATTTCTTCTGGCTCTAAAACCAATATAATTCTCTATGGATTCCAATTTAGAGCTTTTAAACTTGAGTTGAGTCATTTTATGATGCTTCTCAAAATAACAGGATTTCTTACATCCAGTCATCAAAATTACATCTTTGCTAATGACAAAATGATGGCTCATAACAAAATACTCTAGGATTGAGGAAAAAATGTAATGTGCATATAGACAATGCGTTAGATTTTAATAAGACGTGAAGCGTTTGGGAAATGACACTTGAAGATGAGATAGAAAAACAAAATTTTGAAAGATGACGGCAATGTTGGATGAGCAAAGACTAGAAAAGGAATTTAAAAATTTCCTAAGGAAATTAGGGATTAAGGATAGGCACAAGAAAATAATAAATCGTACAAATAAAGGATAGATCAGAAGAATAAAAATATAATATGGTATAAACTTGAGAAATATATGCTATCACAAAACACAATTGAGCTTGGAATCAGAAATTTTATGATATCCTCACCTGCATAGTTCAGCGAAGAGTTTGTTTCAATATAAAGATATTATCATTCAAATTAACTATGCAATGAATGATTATTTCGTCGTTTAACATTATCTTTTAATGGATCATAAGAAATGGATTCTCCAATTTTAGTGTTTTCTTTGATTTTTTTTTGTTTTCAAAAATCTGAAAGCAATTTCCGTTGTTTAAATTGCAAATGAAAATCCAGAAAATAATTGCCAAAAGTAGTAATAATAGTGACAGGACTAACCGTAGTAATAATAGTGACAGGACTAACCGTAGTAATAATAGTGACAGGACCAACCAGAACGTATTATATAAACTATTCTGAATAGTTAATGAAACATGAAACTGAAAAGAACATTTCTTAATATTCAGTCTAGCAGGGCATATTTACCTCCAAAAATTAATATGCTTATATTATCCTGTATATTTTATATATATATATTTTTTCATACTGGTGTAAGACACATGAGTAAGATTTTAGTATAAATATAGATAGAAATATATGCTTATTTTTCAGGGTCAAATTACTATTCTATTCTATTTAAATTGTTTTATAAGCAAGTTAAATAGGTTACACTATTAACTAACCTCGATTATGGATACAGTAGCTCTAGTATCACTTGTGAGAATATTATGTACATAAATGTTAAATCAAAAATCACAAATTATGCATCAAGCTGGGTATTTGAATGGTTTATTTTTTTCTGTTGCTTTCTACCCACTTCTAAAAATATTTTTGGTTGAAAACCTATTTTTTTGTTTTTTAGTTATGATTCAAAACATTTGAGACATGAAATTATTAACGACATTCCGTACTTGTGTAGTAACTTCACATTCAAACAAATTTGCAGACTGAGAAAATAATTGTATACTACTTGAACTACTGCCATCTAATGACATGTCAAAGAAACAATACTACTAAAAACTGATTCCGTTATAATATGGACTTATAACGCCCGTATTTATTAATAGGGGTTTAGTACTAACGGTGTACACAGCCAATTGTGTATCTTTGCGCTTCAACTTATACAAACAAACAAAACGTTATAAAATCAAAATTAGTTCAGTACCATGAGATGTTCTATTATTAAACACTAAGGAGCACAGCATGGGATAAATGAATCATAATTTTATATTTATCCAAGTAATAAAAAACATTTTGTAAATTTAAAATGATGTAGGGATGGCAGTGCCAAAAATAATGTAAACAAGAATATAGAGATGATACAGCTATACATAATTCATCGCTACATGACTTTCAATATTAAAATATAATGTTACACTGTAAAGTGCACGACTACAAAATGGTTAAAAGGTCGGTTAATTCGACCGATCTAATAGCAAGAGTCTATAATAATCAAGACATGTTTGACTCAACTTGGTTTTCCTTGTACATATGTCCTAGATTCTTAGTTACACTACATTGATGCCTAACCTGACACGACCATGATATGATAAACAAACTGCATACCAACAGTCAGGAATGTATATAACTTCTAACTGAAGTAATTAAAGTCAGGTATGCATTTCACAGTGTAACATTAAATTTTAATATTGAAAGTCATGTAGGGATGATCTATATATAGCTGTATCATCCCTATATTGTTGTTTGCATTCTTTTTGGCACTGCCACCCTTACATCATTTTACAATTACAAAATGTTTTTATTACTTATTTTGAGACGTTTTTCCTCTAACTGAAAATTAGTGTATCCTATGAATGTGTGTAATAAAATTTAATATTATGTGTAATGAATTTTTATACTACTTCACTTCATACATAATATAGGGGTTGACTCCCTAAAGACATCGATTGTATAGTGTACAAAGCATTGAATATTCTACATGTTACAGTCATCTAATGTTTATATATTATTGGCTGGTAATTCTTGTTTTTTAAAAGCCATATTTCTATGAAAAAAGCTAACTTCTAGGGATAATGACAACATCATTTACACCAGAATTATGATTTTTTTCATTACTACGACTAAGCGATGACGTCGTGCACTGCCCAGGAACACATAGAACGGATTTAGGTTTCAATTAACGTTGGTGATAAAGTAGTTGTTGAGTTATCTCGATTGAAACAACAAGAAGAAAGACAAATAATTTAGTGGGTTGGTCACGTTCTGGTTTGGTATCTTAGCGATGATTTCTTGCCATGTTTTTGGGCTTGTTGGGTAAAGAAACAAATGAAAGTTAGTGGCAATCATCTTTTAAAGTAAAACTCTCTGTCGATGTTGATTTTTAGAGTACATATCTGTATTATGCCTATTGAGTACCTTGGCCATCGCAACATATAGTCTACCCACTATGTGATATAACATTATATATATATATATATATCCTGTTCTATTAGTTTGTAATTAGTTTTAAACTTAAAGTAACATTGACGCAATCTAGAAGTTTCTATCTATTAACATAAAACTCTTTTTCTGTTTGACCTTATAGCTACATTAATAATGTCATTTCCTAAAAAATAATCTGTTGCTATAATGTTTGACCGCTTCCACCACAGATCTCTAAACCAACGCGTTACATTACGATTAACATCGTCTGCTAGTCCTCTAAGACCCTTTGTTGGGTTGATCAAAATGGTAAAAATGGTCGGAGTGAGTTTTGCCATAGAAGACCAAAGTCTTTTGGGCAGGCTCTGGCTGAACAGGTTATCAAAGTAGGATTTTAAATCTGAGACAGATTGTCGGTCTCCCCACATCTGTTGAATTCCAGGCCATAGGTAGTTATTTCGTGGCTTCATTTTATGGTTATAGGCAATTAAGAGACGTTTATTGGTTCTCCATAAGAAACCTAGAGTAACATCTCTGCCATAATACCTAGGGATTAAGTAAGGCTTAAAATTATACAGAAGGATTTCAATAAGATGCTGATGCGCTTCTGGTTCATGTCTAAATCCGAAAGGAAATCGGTGAAAATCCAATATTATAATCTCCGAAGTAATATCGAGAAATCTTTTGACATCATCCAAAACCATAGACAGACTATTTCGAGTCCGAAAGAAGTCATGATTAATCCAAAATTTCTGTTTGGTTCGAGGATAATATCCCACGCGTACATCAAGATAACGAATTCCATAAGCAAGCTGGTTAAACACACTTTCTTCTTGGTCGTATTTATATCTTGTGATGATGTTGTCCTTTTTATTGCCTGGGTATCGCCTATAACTCCCAGAGTCATGTGTCCCGGGAATCATGAGATCACGAAAACGCAAACCTTTCAACATTTTATTATTTGCTTGCATCCAGAAAGGCTCAGCCTTAATACAGGATGAACTGATCAGTCGCCTTGCTCGAAAGTATCCAGCCCAAAAACCCAAACATTCCGATGTAAGATTGTCTTCAGTAAAATTAAAATAAGGCAACTGGAAGTTTGTTCGATAAAAATTGCTAAGAAGCCAACTTGGGCGAACTGCCTCTAGAGGTCGCCCCACTTCTGTAGCTGGGTCATAGTCAAATAAAGCAACTTGATCATCATATTGTGGAAGGTCTCCGTACCAGTTCAACTCCAGAAAACGTTCTTTGTAACCACTAGGAAGTGGTGAAACGAGAGAAGAGACGGTGAGGAAAGTCTTCATTTGACCATCGAATCTCGAATTACAATCTGTAATCATAAATGGCTAATTTATATTTTTTACTTTGAATTATTTGTTGTTTTAATGATTTTCATTTTATAGGTTTAATACATTCAAAATTCACATACATAACCGAAAAAATAAGTTTTCATTAATAATTAAAGAGCTTGTCCACATAGATTATGTTATCTGTGAAACTCAGTTTAACTTTGTCACTACCCGCTGTTTTTCATATAATCTAATATACTTGTTGAGAGAGAATAAAATATGAGCTGCTTTTGAAACTTAACAGTCTTTAATTTCATCATTTATATCGCGAAAAATGCAAAGTTTAATTAAATATTATTAATTTTTAGAGTTTTAAACGTGTGCACAAAAAACGGTTTTTGTACGTATAGATACTGCAAATTTACTTTCTCATAAAAAATAATGATGGAAAGTAATCTAGAAATTCTTTTGCGTGTTTAATACTTTCAACATTTTTGTATTAAATTTACACGTTAAACTGGTAAAAAAAGCAAACTGATATCTCTAAATATGTAGATCGACAAGCTAAGTTACTTACTTAAATCAACCCATCGTTAGACAATACTTACAGGCTTACACACCCACTTTCATAGCTTTATTCTGAATAATGTTAATCGTGACATCATGCTAATCCTTTTAATAAAGTGTACAACATTTGTTCTGTTTGTCTCTTTCCTTAAAAATAATGGTTATTTCTTACATTTTGTTAAACATAACACGAAAATTCCAGTGAAATAAAATAGAAATCAAATTATGCTTCAAAACATCCGCTAATGTTGATCACTCCTTTGTTAGACAAACATACTTACTCTTCTTAGGTCCCTAATCCAAACACAAAAAAAAATCATATCTATATGTGTGTGTGTGCATATATATATATATATATATATAATTCACAAGTTAAACTAATAATGATTTTCAAGACCTCGTTCCGAATTCAGAACCTGTTTAAAATCAAAGACCTTTTTCCTACCCCTATGTATTCGTAGGCTGTTTATTAATATACTTGTGGTGACTGTAAAACCACGTACAGTAGCAAAATAATACACCAGTTACATAAATGAACGTGGAATTATCCCACAGAACTGAGAAGTTCTTAAATCCTCCAGACTTTCATGCACAGCGAAAACAGTAAATACCCTATCTCTGTAAACGAAATCCATATCCTTACTGCATGATTGTTTAAAAATAAGATTTTAACCAAAGAAAGGTTATAAAATTCAAATTAACTCTACTCCTAAGCACTTCACCTAAATTAATTATTTATTTTATTTTTTTCCACCCAGTTCTAACAGTAAATAATTGTATATCTAATTGTCTTAAATTACAGAGCTTAAGATATTTCTTTTATATGTATTACTATACCTGCATTCATATCTAGTTGCGTCATATTTTGCTGATTATGATGTAATTTTTAAATTCCGAAATGTTCTTTAATTAAGTAGTTGTTGTTACAGCTGTGATGTTTTGTTTTGGTCTCAAAGTTAAAAAATTAAAATATACAACAAAGTAACGAACTAACATAATTTGCTTATATCAACTAGATCCTTACCAAGTATCAGCTCTGAGATCGAGCAAAATGATTCTCAATAATTTTGTTTCATATAAACCTCCTTACATTGAAAATTAAGGCCTTTTTAAAATATAAGATAGAAACGACCATACGTTAAAAACTAATTACTTGCATTTTTACTATGCCCAACCTAACATTTGAAATGAGCAACTTGAAAATTAAATAAACCTCTTAATTTGATGATTTACCTGAAAACCTGAATGGTCGAGTCCAAGCGTCTTCAGCGAATGAGCAACGGATGGTGCATTGCAGTGAAGCCATCAATAGCAGAGACGACAATATGGCACTGAATGCTGAGGTGATGTTCTCCATTTCACTTCTGCAGTAGAGTTGACACATCGTAAAAATTAGCTAGACAGTCTACAAATTGTTTTAACAAGAAAAATGGGTATCTACTTATACAAATAAGTTTTTGTTTTTTGTTTTTTTTGTAGGAACAGTAGTTAAAATCGAGCATTTTCGGCATTGTCATGCTTTGAATCAGCAATTTTATTAATAAAAATATATTTAAAATTCCCAATTCCTAAATTTTATATTGTAGAAAGCACCTCCTATTGGTTACTTGTTTAGGTTAAAAAATACAGTTCTATATTTCTATTGAACATCATTGTACGAAAATGTAATATGAGCGATAAAAAGTCTGTTGGAAATATAAAAAAAATAGTCTGTAAAATTACTCTAAGGTTGAAACAATTGGGTACTTAATAAGAGCACAAGAGGTTGCAACATTAAATAAAATTACTCTAAGGTTGAAACAATTGGGTACTTAATCAGAGCACAAGAGGTTGCAACATTAAATAAAATTACTCTAAGGTTGAAACTATTGGGCACTTAATCAGAGCACAAGAGGTTGCAACATTAAATAAAATTACTCTAAGGTTGAAACTATTGGGCACTTAATCAGAGCACAAGAGGTTGCAACATTAAATAAAATTACTCTAAGGTTGAAACTATTGGGCACTTAATCAGAGCACAAGAGGTTGCAACATTAAAAAGAAAGTGGAACGAAAGAATGGACTCAGGTAAAAATACAAACACGATTCTAATTGTTGCAACATATATGAGGAATAAAATAATGCGTTAAATGGTATTAGATGTTGTGCTTGTTCGTCAGCTAGGTTAGGTTTTCCAACGTTGTTTTCATCCTCCAACACAATGTGTGCTTTTAAATATTTTGTGTGTTACTTTCGGAATTTCGCACAAAACTACACAAAGGCTAGCTGCGCTATTCATCCATAATTCTAAACTGAGACTAGAGGGAAGACAACTAGTCCATATCACTCTCTGACAACTCTCGGGCTACTCTGGTCGAATAATGGGATATCGGGCTACTCTGGTCGAATAATGGGATCTCGGGCTACTCTGGTCGAATAATGGGATTTATCTCTCCCGTTACCGCATTTTTATTGTTGTTGTTGTTGTTAACGGGAAGCAAATGACGGACCATTGGATCTACAGTCCAACACATTAACAACTAGGTAACGCCCGGCCCAAATTTAAAATATAGAGTGAGCACCTCAATGAAGGACTCTTAATCGAGAACGGTTCTCAAGCATTAGAAACTAAGCAGTCAGGAGTGAACTCATGCTCTAAAACGTAAGTTATTGAAAAGTGTAATGACATAGTAAAACCCTGTTTACCAAGATTTTAGGTGACATTTCTTACTTCCGGGATATATTAAATTCATAAACCGAGTTTGTTTGTTTTTACTATAATAGGATATTTCGAATTTATAAGGCAACAACGAAGGTTTGTATTTTGTTACTGAAACAGAAACTTATAACTTAACTGTTGCAGTAAACATCTGATATGGATTAATTTCACCAATCTTTTTCAAAACAACAGATTTAAATTTCGTAATTCACCAGAAAATGGAGTATTTTACAAATCTTGAAAAACAAATAGGTCTATCTGATTGGGTTTATAGAAGAAAAACATAGACATGGCCGTTTATTTATTTTTTGGTAAAGTTACAACATAAAATTGTTTTAAAGAATGAGCGTGGCTTTCAATAGTAATTTACTTTGCATCATACACTCATGTTTGAGTTCCAATAAGAATCAACAGACTTCTTTTATACTCGTGGAGTATCAGAAAATGTACTCTTTAAATAGAAAAATAGCTGCAGGTATCATTTCTACGAAGTTTATCCAGTATATGTCTAGTTAAATTGTTTCATATTTTATTTCCATGCTACGAGATCTACTAATCAATACTTGTCGGGGTGAAAGTGGAGAAATAAGGTTTTATGTTGTTATTTTACAGGCAGGTAAAGCAATGGTTAGTTATTAAGCCGAATGTGACGTCCAACTACACACTGAAATCCGTACAAAATGTCAAATTACGTCTGATAATTTCACGGTATTTGATATGAAATAAGCAGTAAATGTGATGAATGCCATCACAGTTTACGAAAAAAAGCGGTTTTTATAATTGGTGATGTCATTTCCTGAAAGTATTACACGTACATTTTTCTATTAAAAACATACAGCTCTCAATGACTTGACAACATTCATTAACGTACAAATTTCGTCAGCTTATGCCTTACCGCTAAAAAGCACGGATCACACATATAACTACTTCATCTCGTCTCACGCACAATACGGTAACGGTGACGTCACAATAAAATTAATTTATGTCATTTACTAATGAAATTACAGCAAAGAAACACGACAGAATATCGCAATGTTTACAGCTTTCAAAAAGTGGCACCTCTGTCTTGAAACCAAGACCAGTACTATCTGTATGAGTATGTCTGGCATGGCTTGGTGTTAAGGCGCTCGACTTGCAATCTGAGTGTCGCGGGTTCGAATCCCCGTCATCGAACATGCTCTCCCTTTCAGCCGTGAGAGCGTTATAATATGAAAGTCAATCCCACTATTAGTTGGTAAAAGAGTAGCCCAAGAGTTGGCGGTGGGTGGTGTTAACTTCCATCGAATCTATTACTGATACAATAGGGACGGCTAGTGTAGTTTTGCGCGAAATTTCAAACAAACCAAACCAACCTCTCTGGGGTAAAGATCTAGAACTATGACGCAATATATGTAATTTGAGACAGACACAGCGAGAAGAATCCTACAAACAAAGTGACGAGCACAAGATAATGTAAGATGTGTTTAGTTAGTAGTAACCTCGTATTATTAGATTAATAATGATAGCTAGTGATGAAGTCACACAGTTGAGTGATAATATTTACATAAGCTGCAAGAAAAAGTATGGGAAAATCAACAAAAAAGTATGTTTCTTAAACAGTTCCAACTTAACTGTATATATATATTTATATAAAAAAAGAGCGATGGGACTAAGTGATGGTGTAACATTTTTGTTGTCAAAACTTTAAACAACTATATGATGCTTGGGAATAAATGTGTTATATCAGACATTAGCTAGCTCAGTTAGTTAAAGAATACTTGTATTAAACTTTATAATCAAAGACTAACCGCTCTGCATTGAAGTATCTTCCAAATAACTAACTATCTAGAAGACTTAACAAGAGGTTGGCATATGATAAAAGAGTCATTCAAAATAACCGCTCTAGCACTCAAAATAACTTAGTATGCAGATAGACTATAACAAGGTGGTATATGGTATAAGGATCATTCAAAATAACCGCTCTAGTATTTAAGTATTATCCAAAATAACGTAGTATGTAAATAGACTTTAACAAGGTGGTATATGATATAAGGATCATTCAAAATAACCGCTCTAGCACTCAAAATAACTTAGTATGTAGATAGACTGTAACAAGGTGCTATATGATATAAGGATCATTCAAAATAACCGCTCTAGTATTCAAGTATTATCCAAAATAACGTAGTATGTAAATATACTTTATCAAGGTAGTATATGAAATAAGGATCATTCAAAATAACTCCTCTCATATTTAAGTATTATCCAAAATAACTTAGTATGTAGACAGACTGTAACAAGGCGGTATATGATATAAGGATCATTCAAAATAACTCCTTTCATATTTAAGTATTATCCATAATAACTTAGTATGTAGACAGACTGTAACAAGGCGGTATATGAATAACTCCTCTAATATTTAAGTATCATCCAAAATAGATTAATATGTAGATAAACTGTGATAAGGTTCAAATATATATTCATTCAAATTGTAGAAACTGTAATATACGTTAAATTATCCAAGTTTAAGTATGTAATCGTATTGTAAAAAACCAGATTATCTTGGATACTTCCATGAAAAACACATAAAAGTAAATTCTAGTTGAAAAGACCTGATACTTAAGATACATCCCTGATGAAGGTAAGAATCCTTCCGAAAGTGGACCTTACTTTGTATCTCCCTTTTTTTAAAACTTATTATTAATATCATGGAAATACTCAAGCAAAACATTTTGAAAAGTAGATTACTTACGTACTCCAAATATCGAAATGTCTTTGTTTTTTTTTCTCACAGAGTTTTGACAAAAACCAAAGAAACTCTTAACGGCCGCTGTTAGTCCCGAACAATGCTCACTGATAGCTTATACATGAAATGAGGAAGAACAGTAAAGCAGATCGTCTTAGCGATGTTTATATTAATAAACTGAGATGTATATTCAGTTTCATCGTACAACCCACCTCATGGGTTTGTTATATTGTGATTTTTCACGAACAAATACGTTGTCTTATGGCTGCAGCGATTTTGGCACACGGCCAATAAAATATAGGAGCTACATGAGCTCGCTGGAAAGGTACGGGTTTCGATGAGAAATCGGGGAGTGTTTGTATTGACTGCCGCCGTGCTGCTAATATATTGTTACGTATCTGTTTGTTAATTGATTTTTCCGTAACTTCGTTCCAACGAAACTTTAACGACACAAGTCTTTACTTAATAAAACTGGTTTATTCTTTCCGAATATAACTCTGCGATACACTTAATCTCAATACTCGCGCTAAAACAACACTGTAACGAACGAACGTTAACTTCAACAATACCCTGTGGCTGCAGTTCAATTACTCAACATCCCCGCACACATTACATTCCCCTCTTTTATATACCAGCCTACCCCATCTAGCAAATACTAGAGCATTCCTGAAAGAACAAGATAGTTCTAGAAACTAGAGGGCGCCACACCAGTCACGTGACTCGCTGACGCAACATTCCTTTGACGTTTCTATAAGTTTAAAACACTAACCGGACTACACTAAGTTAAACAAATCAACTTAGTTGTACAAATAAACTCAATATGCACAATAGATAAAGCAGACCCAAATAGTTCACTAAAGCACACTACTGACTGGTTCACTCTATCGGCTAGAAACAACTCTATCTTCTTAACTATCTTGTCTGAACCTCGTATTTATAATCTACCTTCGAATTTACTAGAAAATTTGACATCAAATCCTTAGAACTTCCTAGGCGTATAATATTAAACTTTCTGATCTTAACATCACCATTACAAATATTAAAAGTATAGCTTATAATGTTGCCTCCTTCCTGGATTGTGAAGTCCCTCAAATAATTCTAATATAGAAAAAATAAAATATTAAACTGCCAAGTTCACCAAGTTCTTTTGGTGGTTTTTCTCGTCAGAAGCCTATGATATACAAGAAGGATAATGTATTTTCCCTTGTTGCCATTATCCATGCTGTCGCTGACAGGGAGGGGGGGGGGAGGTTGTCAAGTAAATCCACCAGTGGCTTCAACTTTGGTGATACTCTGCAAGTTGTCTCGGTAACAGCTCCTAGTTTCTCAGCAGGTTGAGTTTCTGGTGGTAAGTTCTTCTCTGGAGTTACCCAGTTGGCCGTTGCATCACTAACGTACTTTCAAAACTATAGAACTAGTGTGAATCAGCATACTACAAGGTTTCCCATTCCATCAGTAAGTCCATAGATTCGTGGAAGATTTTCTTCAAATAATGAAATTCATTTTTCGTTTTGGATACATGGTGTATTCTCAACTGAACTTCGTCTTACAACTACAACTAATTCCTGTTTTGCTTTGTGTTGTTCTATAGATCTAGTTGGACCAAAAGTCTCATCCCTGGGAAATTCCTCACAATCTTATCTGTAATGGCCAGGTTATCATATCTATAACAATTCTCTCTTTCTGGTATCCTTTGGAAGGAGTTCTTATTCCATACAAGCTTTTGTCTGCTGTTCCTGGTAATATATCCATTGAAGTTACTTTTGAAACACCGATTATATTGCGGCTTATTTCCTTCGTCCTTTGTAACTAGTTGTCTAAATAATCGTTTTAGATCTTATAAACCGTTTTCAAGAGGAGTTGATGCTTCAACACTAGTCGATTTGACAACCATGTAAGTTCAAGATGATGTTTTCATCTGTTCATCTGCAACTTTACTGAATTCTAGTTTCATTGTCAGCTGCAGAGTTTCTTTTAAGAATTTACACATTCTTTGCTTCAGCTCGATTCTCATATTATCACCTGGAATGGCATCTAAAGAATGGTCATGTATCAATGAATCCAATATTTCAAGAGGAACATAAGTAAGATAATTGAGCGAGCCTTTTCCTAATCTAAATCAGTACCCAGGGTACCAAGATAACTTTACTAAGGTGTTAAGCAATATACACTCATGTGACCTCTTTGTCCCATACTGTGTATATATATATTCCTTTGTCTATGTAAACTACTTGTACCTGATGATAACATTAGTTTGCCTAAACATCAGACATTTGTAATAAAGTTTCTTTCACTACCCATTCAAGCTGTCTCCAAACTTTATTTTCTAAAAAATGTGTTTATCGTCATCAAATTCCAATTTCAATTGAAAATTTCCAAATCTTCTTCAGTTTCAGCTAAGGTCTCTTCTTTCCTCCATACCCTGTTCTGGAAATTTGCTCTGGATACTTCTTTCTGATGTGACTCTCCAAACCTATTGAATAAGACGACTACAAATGCTTGATAATTGTTACAGCTCTCAGCTGGAAGATTACTTAATGACGTCAAAGCTAGTCCTTTTAAATGGGCAGCAAGAGTGATGATTTGCTGTTCCCTATTCCACCCATTCATTCTGTAAATGATGATTTTATACTGGCAGTAAGATAGATGGCTTGTCGTTCACTATTCAACCTCTTTGCTCTGAAAATGATTTCAAACTGAGCCTCACATTAATCCCATGATGTCTTCCCATCTTAGTCCATTGGTTTCTTTTTTGGTTGATGTTGAACTGGCTAGCTACATTCTGAGACTGGATTTGGTACTGCCATTACTAGAGTGGTCCAAGAAGGTCCTCCAATAGCAGATTGCACAGCAGTATTGGTAATAGACGTATATCAAATAAGTTTTCCTATTCCATATCTTGTAGTAGATGTTTTAGATTGAAATTCTTGAGTCAATGCAGAAAAATGTGTTTCTAATTTAAGTTTGCATTTAATAAATAATTTTCCAGATGTTTATTTTGTTACTGTCGTTGTACTGTATTTCACCAATTTTAATACTTTCTTACTTCCTCGGTCTTATTGTTGTAATTTCTCTACACATTTCTAATAGTTCTGTCGTTTCTGTCTTGAGTCAGATTTATCTTTAATTTTAAACCTTTCTTACAAGAATAATATGCCTCTTTCTTTTAACTCCTCTAGCCCCAAGTGGCACAGCGGTATGTTTGTGAAGTTACAACGCTAGAATCCGGGTTTTGATACCCGTGGTACGCAGAGTACAGATAGCCCATTGTGTAGCTTTGTGCTTAATCACAAACAAATAAATAATTCCTCTATTAAATTCTTGTCTCTTACTTCTTGGTCTTCTTTTATTTTTCTACCACTTTCTTCTAATTTTCTATCTTTTTCGTCTTGTTTTTCTTTATATGCTCCATTTATTTCTGTCTGTTCTTCTTTCCATTTCATAGTACGTATCCTACTCCATTTTGTGCCATGTGGTCATCTTGAATGAAAGTTGAAGTTGAGTCAAAGTTCTATTTTATTTTCACCAAAATAACCTCATAGTCATAACTTTGTTCTTTCATTCATGTTCTTTTAAATTATCTGTGGAAACTATCCAACGTCCAGTCCAGTCCACATTATGATTACAGATTACTTTATTTCTTCTTTTAACGTTTCAAGAAGCTTTAACGTCGTGGAAAGTTGTAGGTCACATTTGTAACAATGCTAACTATACTACACAAAAGTAAAAAATCAACTTACTTGTTAAAAGTTACTCAATACACATCATGAGGCTAACACAGATTGAAATACTTGACTATAAACCCACTAACTGATTTACTCTATTGGCTAGAAACAACTCTTCTTAACTAGTTTTACCAAACCATATATTTATAGTCTGTTTTGACTTTTTTGACTAGAAAACTTGACATCATAAATTTAGAACTTTCAATGTATATTGTTACGACAGCGGAAGTCACATGACGCTGCTGGCGCGTTTGGCGCTGGTAGCATGCTGGTAAGCTCGAGTTTGTTCGAGACGCCCTCTTTTTTAGCATATAAGACTGGCAAAGAAAGCATGCGGGATTGAATGAAGAGAGTTCCAGGTAATTTACGATTCTGTTTCGAGCTAGTGTGTATTTTGTTATCGAGATTGTGAATCGCTGTGGTTTATAGCTTGTATTATAAAAGTAGTTAAGTTTAAAGTGACGAGAAACGTAGTGATTGTGAAATTACTTTGTACTAAAAGTGTGTATCGAGAAAGAATAAACTGGTTTAATCAAGAAAGGACTTGTTTCGCTGAAGTTCCTCGGGAAAGAAATTCTACCGGAAATTAACAAACAAGTAGATACGTAACAAATTGGTGTCCGAAGTAGGATGAAAAGAAAAAGAAAAAAAGAAAAAAAAAGGTTGGAAAAGAAAAGTGGCAAATCAAACTACGACTTAGCAGATTTGATGGCAGCAATACAAGAACAACAAAAGAAACAAGAAGAACAAGAAAATAAACAAGAAAGGAGACTACAGAGAGTGGTTGGAGGAGAAAGAAAAGAAACAAAAAGAACGAGAAAATAAACAAGAAAAGAGACTACAGAGTGGTTGGAGGAGAAAGAAAAGAAACAAAAGAGTGGTTGGAGGAGAAAGAAAAGAAACAAGAAGAATGAGAAGAGA